AGGTTGTGGCAGAAGTACTTTAATCTCTGTCTCACATGGCCCTCTTCCCTCTCTGGGTCTGTTTCAAAATTTATCTTTTTATAAGAACACAAGTTATATGTGATTCAGCATCTACCCTAATCCAATTTGACCTCATCTTTATTTGACTCCGTCTTCAAAGACCGTATTTCCAAATAAGATCACATTCACTTGGGTTGCTGGGTGGACATAAATTTGGGGAGCACAGTATTCAAACCAGTAAGCCAGATTCTGAAATCGCTTCCAGTTATTCCTGATTCTTGATATTCTCATTCTTGTGCAATTTCCTCCCACTGACAGTGGACCCAACTCAGGGACTGAGTGTGAGATAAGCCATAAAGAAAGATGGAGACTAATGAACAGAATACAGCAAAAGTGATAAGGTATCACTCCTGACATTATGTTATAAAAGGCTATGACTGTAGTCTTATTCACATTTTCTAGCTGTGCTCAGGTCTTTGCTATAATAATAAATGATAGAATCCCACATGCTAGGAGCAGAAGACTGCCTCTCACCAATCCCTAAAAGTGAACTGAGGGCTTCAGTATAAAGGGTCTTAAGGAACTGAATCCTTCCAGAAGCCATGTGAGCTGAAAGCAGATCCTGCCCCAGTCAAGCCTCCACATGAAGCCACAGTCCAGAAAACACCTCAATAGCAGCTATGATACACCCTGAAGCAAAGGACATTCATAAGCCGTGTCTGGCCCCAGGAAACAATTATATATGTGTTGTCTAAGCCATGAAATTCAGAAGGGTACCTTATCACACAGCAAAACATAGCTCACAGCATAGAGCTTAGTATTACTGCCATTTACAGAGGAACCATGTAGAAGTTAAAGATCATTACCTGAACACCAGCTAGTAAGGGGACAAAGCAGCACTTAAATCCAATCCATCTAACACAAAACACAAAATTATTCTAAAATTATATGAAACTAACAAAGAAACACATGGTGGATGTAAGAGCCAGGTTTCTCATTGTTGAAAAAAGAAGTTGCAGATAAGGACAGAGGGAAGGTGGGACAAGCCTTGGCATTGCACTGGCATCAGAGGTAACAGCATGAACTCATGAGATTTAGGACATAGACAGACAGATATTAACTTAAGGTGAGTGTGAGATAAGCCATAAAGAAAGATGGAGACTTTACCTCCTTCATGTTTACATGGATGGAGCTGGAAAATGTTCTTCTTAGCAAAGTGTCTCAAGAATGGAAGAAAAAGTATCCAATGTACACAGTCCTATTATGAAACTAATAACCTAATTATAGCCTAAGAATATGGGGGTGGGGGGATGAGAGGGGAGAGGAGTGGATGGGTGTAGGGAGGGTGATTGGAGGGATCACCTCTATGGTTTATCTTACAAGGGCGCAAGTGAATCTTTCTAAAAGTAGAATATAAACGTCTTAACACAATAACTAAGAAAATGACATGAAGGCTATGTTAACCAGTTTGATGAAAATATTTCAAATTGTATATGAAAACACCACATTGTACCCCATGATTGCATTAATGTATATAATAAAATAAGCTGTCAAGAAAAATAGAGGTGTGTTTTTGGAAAGCCAGGAAAGAAATCTGTACAGAGGCATAAATCATAATGTATCCACACAGAGACGGTTTTGGGCTTGGATAACGTCTCCTTAGACAATGAGGACAATAATAGAATGAGGGGTGTGGGGTAGGACAGAGCTCTGCTCTCATCCTGGCCTGAAATTGGGCTCTCAGAAGCTCTCCCCAACTGCCCCAAGCCTATTTCATGGAGGAAAGAGTACTGGGAGCTTCTTACCATAACAATCTGGATGCTCAATTTCAAACCTTCCAGCCATCTCTCTTCCAGTTGAAGAGAGGATATTTCACCTCACAACTGTGGGTGCAAGTTGCAGTTTTATTTCTGCATGATGCTATATTCTTGCACTTGCCAGCTAACACTCTCAAACTCATCAATATGGGTGAATCAAGACAAAATACTGTTGTTTTTCATTTTCATAGGACTATACCAGTTCCATGCCCATAAAATCTTTATTGCCCAACTTTGTTCATAAAGGTACCCAAATAACATATCCTGTTCATGGATAGGAGGAATCGACATGATATAAGTCAGAGTTCACCTCATGTTCATGTATAAAACCAATGCAATCCTAATAATACAATGCACATGTATTTTATGGAGTGAGATAAGTTGATACAGTCAATCATGAATAGGCAGAAAACTACAAAGTAGGAACCAGATATTAAAACTTACTATAAAGCTTTGACAAAACAACAAGAGGCTAATGCATGAATACACAAAACATAGACAAATTGAATGGACCAAAAGTTCAGAAATAGAACCAACTACATATGAAGTTTTAAAATGTAATAAACACTTGAAGAAATTAGCCTGGGAGAATATTTTATGAGGAGGACAGCCTGGGCAATTGAAGCAACACCAAAAATACATTACTGGGATCTGATCAAACTAAAAAGCTTCTGCACTGCCAAGAACACAGTAAGTAAAGCAAGAAGACAGCCGTCAGAATGGGAGAAGATATTTGCAAGTTATGCTTCTGACAAAGGTTTGATAACCAGAATCCACAGAAAACTCAAACTTATTAATAAGAGAAGAACAAATGATCCCACTTCATTGTGGGCAAGAGACTTGAACAGAAGTATCTCTGAAGAAGAGAGGTACATGGCCTGCAGACATATTAAAAATGGCTCATCATCTTTAATCATCAGAGAAATTCAAATCAAAACCACTTTGAAATATCATGTAGCCCACATAACAAAATCCCAAAACTACAGATGTTGGCATGGATGTGGAAAGAAAGGAACACTTCTACACTGCTGGTACCAAATGCAAATACATTCCTTTTAGAAGGAAGTTTGGAGAACACATAGGGAACTAAAAGTAGACCTGCCATTTGATCCTGCAATTCCTGCATTAGGTACAGGTCCAGATGACCAAAAATCATTTTACAACAAAGATATTTGTATCAGAATGCTTATTGCAGCTCAGTCCATAATTGCCAAGTCATGGAAGCAGCCCAGGTGCCCATAGACCCATGAATAGATTAACAAATTCTGGTCTATGTATACCACAGAATATTATGCAGCCATAAAAAAGATGGAGACGTTACCTCTTTTATGTTTACATGGACAGAGCTGGAACATATTCTTCTTAGTAAAGTATCTCAAGATGGAAGAAAAAGTATCCAATGTGTAATCACTCACACTTTCATACAAATGATAAAATGCAACTACAGTGCAAAATGAAGGAGGGAAGAGGAGGGGGAGGGGAGGGGAAGGAGAAGGCCAGGTAAAGGGAGGGTAATAGGTGGGACCTCACCTATGGTGAACATTGCAAGGGTACATATTAAATCTATTAATAGTAGAGTATAGATGTCTTTTTTTTGTATGAAAGGTCTTTATTGGTGGGGGGAGGGAGGCTGTAGAGCAGCACTGAAGAGGAGAGAAAAGAGGAGAGAAAGATAAGGAGAGAGTGGGGAAGAGAAGAGAGTAGAGAAGAGCGAGGGGGAAGAGAGAGAAAAAAGAGCAGAGAAGGAAGGCAGAAGGGGACGAGAAAGCGAGTATAGATGTCTTAACACAACAATTAGGTAAGTGAGGTGTAGGCTATGTTAACCAGTTTGATGTAAACATTCCAAATTGCATATAAAATCAGCACATTGTACCCCATAAATACATTAATGCACACAGTTATGATTTAATGAAATGTAGTACAGGGAATTTGTCAAATAAGTTGAGTAAGGATACAATATTGTTTTTGTTTAATGGTGAGTTTCAAATCTGTGCCATTTTAAAACATAATGAGTACCAAGGCAATAAATATAGGGTAAGTTAAAACTTTGTTAAGAAAGTTTTCAGACTAGGTGGAAGAACCACACCTGTTAAATCCTGACTTATGCAATGTGTGTTATCAGCCTTCCCTGCTGATGAAGCAGGGTTGAGGTTCAAGCCCTCAGTCAGATGATACCCTGAAACAAGGACTCACACTTGCCCTTTTTATTGGAAGGATTCAGGAATAATGCACCTGCCCAATATTTGTAGCTTGTCACTTAGAGCTTGATATATTTATGTGCTCTGGATAGAGACCAGAAGGACCAGAATAGTTCAAGAAATGAGAAATTGAATTAAATCTCATATATAATATCTTTACCATCACATCTGTCATAGGAGCTGTAAAAGTGTCTCCTCCCAGACCTGGTCTGGAATCCATCCTCACAGGCACAGTGGGTGCTGTTGTAGCAAAAGGCATGCTCAGGGCATTGAGGACAGAAGGCTGCAGGGAACACAGAGTGTCTTCCTTTGCTAATTCATGTATTCAAGAAATATTCATTAGCACCTATAGTTTACCAGATGCTGTGTTCGGAAGGCTGTCCTCTTGGAAATAGTTCTGCTGACATCATTTTCCCACCCAACCCACTGCTGGACACAGATGTGTACAGTGCCAGAAGATCCCACTTTTGCAACCAGCACCACTTGTGCTTGACATTTGACCTCTGAGTCCCAGTTCCTGTGTGCTGGGGCCCCTGCGGGCTCTCTCTGGTCACCAGAGTCCCCTTTGTTCACCACCTGGCAGGGTGACATTGTTTGCCCTTTCAAGAGCAAGACCCTCCATCAGTGACTGACAGGAGTCAGTCTACCAAAAAACTCAGTTTCATTAATGTGAAAGTAACCCATTAGGAAATAATGTGTACTGTTGAGAATGTGGAGAGACTGGAACCCTGTGCCATGCTGGGGGTTGTAAAATGAGGCAGCCTGTATGGAAAGCAGTTCGATTGTTCCTCAAGAAGTCAAAATGTAGAATTACCATATGATCTAGCAATCACACCCCTGGGTATACACCCAGAGGAAGTGAAAGCAACGTCTGGAAGAGATGCTTATAAACCCCTGTTCACAGCAGCAGCATTATAGTTAGCCTTAAGGGGATCTCCAGATCCCAATCTCCTCTCCTCTGGCCTTTGGCTATGAGTACACTCACCTCTAGAGTTCTTGGCTTCTGATCCTGACAGAGTCAGCAAGACACCAAGACCTAGAATAGAGAGAGGATGGAATAATTCAGACAGGGCTCCCAGGGCTGGGCTTGGCTGAAGACTGGGAGAGTCAGGGGTGACTAACCCTAACCCTCTGCCCAGTCATGTGTGTGACTTCCCTGTAGATTCCTCCAGGCAGGCTCTAACGCAGGGGTCATGGGAGCAGGCGTGACATGCTACTGAAGCAGGAAAGGCACATCTGACAGAAGTGGTGGGGCCAACTCCCCAAAGCTCAGCAGCTAATTCAACTTCCCCAACTAGTCTTCTGCCAAAAGTCAGCTCTGCAATCTTCTTGCCATATTCCACAGTTTGTCTTTATCAGAACAGACCTCAGACCCCACACTGACAAAATATAATGTAAACAACATAGGGTCTTTTTAAATTTTCTAGTAGCTACATTTAAAAACAAGGAAATGAGTGAAATTAATTTCAATAATGTGTTTACTTCATTCAATACAGCCAAGATGTTCTCATTTTAACACATAATTAATATAAAACAAATGATTGATAAATTATTAACGCCTGATGTATGTATTAGGTCTTTGGAACCTGGTCTGTGTTTTGCATGCATAGCACCCCTCCATTGGCACAGGACACATTTCAGGTGCTCAGTAGCAGCCCGTGGCTGGTGGCTGTGGTATGGGATAGTGAAACCTTAACCTTTAGGAACTAGGGCTTCCTCTGTTGTCAGAGAGATCTGCATAGCATGGACTGTGAGAATCCTGAAGTCATCATGGATATGGTAATTCTCCCTCAGCTTCTGCACCTGTACAGGGGTCACCTCTCATTAAAGCACCCTTCACTGGCTCTTCACTCTTCCCCCTGTGATACCCCCAGCCTCATCCTGGTACTTCCTGGGATCTCCTCCAAAATAAACACACATGCAAGTTCTTGCCTCAATCCTGCTCTGGGGAGCTGCCCATCCCAGGAGACTGAGGAGGAGAGTTTCATGCAAGACAAGCACACCAAGTTATGGCTGGGGAAAGTGCCTAATGTGGGATCAGACACAGCTAGGACAGCAGGGGATAGGAAGAGAAGGCAAGGAGTTTGTTGTTCCACTCACCCAAGAGCAGGAGCCAACACCTGCTTCCCATGATACATGCACACCAGGAGCCACAGCCTGAGACTCTGATGCAGGGTGAGGTAAGAGATCCTGGAATGAACAAATACCATGAAAACCTACCCCTGAGTGTCACCAGGTTAGAAACCCTAAAATCTGCCTCTCATTTGAGCCAGTAATTCTGCTTCTGTGTGACTGTCTCAAGGAAAGAATCCTGCAAGAATGATCATAGCAGAGTTGATTATAGGAAACAAGATGACTACCCTGCAAATGCTGAAAATAAAGATATCTAAGAGAGTGAATATTCAGCTGGAATTTAAAACCCAGACTGTGGAAAACTCCACCGTACAAACTAACTTGTTTCCATTTCTCTCTCTCTCTCCCCTCTCTTCTCTTCCCTCTCTCCCTCTCCTTCTCTCTCCCTCCCTCACTTCCTTCCAGACTTGTCTCCCTCTACTGCTGGGCTGGAGCACAGTGGTCCCCCCTCATTGCAACATCAAACCCCTGGTCTCTAGTGATATTACCACTCTTCCCACTTCAACCTCATGAGTAGCTGGAACTACAAGTGTGTGTCGACCCATCTGGCTAGTTTTTCTGATTTTTTCTATAGAGATGGGGGTCTAACTGTGTTGTTCTTGACTGATCTGAAACTCCTGGCCTCAAGAAATCCTCCCTCGTTGGCTCCCAAGTTTGAGCCACTGAACCCAACCTCTTTTATTTTTTGATTTTACATTGCTATTACTTTGTTTTCTAAAATATTTTAATTGACAATTAGTTATATGTACTTGTGGGGTATAATGTGATGTTTTGGTATACTTTAAGCCCCATAACACACAATTCCCTGCCTCCTCTGAGTGTGCTGAAGCATCTCAGGAGTCTGCACTCTCCCATATAAGGACACACACATCCCTTGTCCCAGCATAAGTGAAAAAATAAACATGAGATAGACGCTGCATATCAGCTTTCAAGAGACAGAGCAACAGGACATGTGATGAGGTCTCTTCCAACAGGTGTGCAGAGACAGATGTTTCTAGATCCATAGTCACTGGTAAAGCATTCTTCTAATTTTTTGTGAGAGGAGAGGGGGCAAGATGGCTGACTAGAGCCAGCCAGCTTCCCACAAAGGTTCCCATCTAGAAGGGGAGATAAAAGATAAATGTTTCTCAAGAAATCTGATGGTTTGGAGCTAAGCTAGGAGAGAAGATTGAGAAATGCACATCACTGCTGCAGAAGTGAGCTACAACTCCAAGAAAACAAACTATAGGTACAAAACCAAGCAGACGTGAGTCCCCTCCCCCATGAGAACACTTTGCAGTGAACTTTTTACAAACAAGCGAACAGAGTTCAGATTTCTTTTGATATCCCACAGAAAAGAGCCACTAAAAATCAGATCTCCTTCCCCAGAGAGACCCCACTTGTGAGCCTAGGCATTCTTCCAACTGGCATAAAACTGAACATATCTTATATCTGCAATTCTGAACTCCCACCCCACCCTTCCACCCTCACCCCCTGGTCTGAAAGCCTGTCCCTTGTGGAGTCCAGAATCTTGAGCAATTTCTTGAATGGTAAGGGCATGGCATGGGCTGCTACAAGTCTGTGCTGAAACGCCTGCATGCGTGTAAAGTGGGGATTGTAGAGTGAGAGAACCAAGCGGGAGATGGAGTAATGTGGTCTGAGGCAGTGCGCCACAGCAGGGCGGTGGCAGCGACAACAGGGTCCCACCCTGGGTCATATTTCCTTTTTCTCTTGGCACACAGAGGGAGGCGGGCCTCTGCCCAGGGGGTCAACCACACGTGGAGCAGAACTAGGACAAAAACACAGGCTCCATAAACTGGAGTTATGCTTGTGGTGGTACTTGCCTGGGTGGGGCATGGCTGGGACTGAGACTAGAGTGCCGTGCAGTGGTAGCACAGCTTTTGTTGACTCATAATGCGCCTAGCCCACAGTGGAGCATAGCCGAGACAGAGTTGCAAACACCACTAGGGTACAGGGCAGCAGTACCAGCCTGGGACAGAGACACACCCTCTCTGAACTCTAATTTTACCACTGCAGACAGAGAGATGCAAACGTGGTGAGAATGCAAGCCAGTGGCAGCACCAGCCCAGGGTGGGGTGGGGTCAGACACACAACCTCTCTAAACTGTAATCACCTAGCCCACAGCAGAGTTCAGCTGGAACAGAGACACAGTAGTGGCTCCAGCCTGGGGCAGAGAAGCTGTTGAACACTAGAGGGAGCCAGGGAGCCAGACTTCAGACCCAAGAGGTTGCTCTGGGGGCAGATTATTCCACAGAGGAGGCATTGATCTCCCTTGTCTCAGGCAGGACCATATCTCTGTCACTTCCTCCCACTGAAGGGAGCTGGGCCCGCAGCCCTGGGGGGCTACCAGTGGTGGGGTGAGGGTGGGGAAGGAGACACCAATTCCTTTGGCCTGACTCTTGGCCTAGGCAAACCTTCCCATCGTCTTGACTATTAGAGAGAGCCAAATTCCAGCATCTTGGGTTTCTTGGTTTGAGCTGCCTGTGGAACCCTACTACCAGTTTGCGAGTCACAGATCAAACTCTCACAGTTGAACAGTTTTTTGTACTCCCTGGGACAATTGCTTTTGGAACTATCCCCTGCAGTCCACCCAGGGATCCTCCAAAGTTGAACTGAGGTTGTGTTGAATGGGAGGGAATGGCTGCTCCTTCAATAGGTGCTGGAGAGAGGTGGGGAAATCTCAGTTTCCTGTCTATTCCCCTAGCTGAGATTTTATCCTTATCTTGTGACTTAGTAGGATTGGATAGTGGTTGGCTGACTACAAGACAGAGCCAGCTAGCCCTATCAACAACTTGGTTCTCAGAGTCTTTAGCTGCAGATCTGAAAGGGAATTCTGTAAAGCTGTAAGGGAAAAGCCACAATCATTATTCCCTGCTCTTTGGTAAAGGGCTAATCAACTACCTTCCTGGAACCCCCAATTCAACCACACCCTTCAGTTTTAATACCCAAACTATGGAAATTAAGCCTGAGGTGGAACCAGAGGAGGAACTCTGGCAACATGAATAATCAGAGCAAATCAATTCCCAAAAGGAATGACAAAAGGGATATGTCAGAAGATGCCATTCGTAAACAAATGGCTGAAATGTCAGAAATAGAATTTGGAATATGGATGGCAAATAAGATGAATAAATTGGAGAAAAAGATGGATATTGAAATCCAAAAAGTTGTACAAAAGTTGTCTCAAGAAGTAAGTGAATTCAAAGACAAATTTACCAAGAATACAGACATAATAAAAAGCAGATAGCAGAGTTTAGTGAAATGAAAAAATTATTTGAGGAGCTCCAAACTTCAGTAAAATCCCTCACTATTCTCAGCAGGCAGAATAATGGATTTCTGAAATTGAAGACAAAGCTTTTGTACATGCCCAAATGTTCAAAGAGGCAGACAGATGGAGAGCAAAAACTAATCTTTCCCTGAGAGAATTGTGGGATCACTCCAAAAGATCAAACATTCATCTTATAGGAATTCCAGAAGGAGAAGATGATGGTCCTAAAAGCACAGACACTTTACTCCAAGAGATTTTGGAAGAGAATGTCCCAAGCATTGTAAGGGATACTGAAATTCAGATAGCAGACAGTTTCAGAACCCCGGTATGACTCAATCCAAATAAAGCATGTCCTAGGCACAGTGTAAATAACTTCACCAAAGTTAAAATGAAGGAGAAAAATCTGCAAGCAGCCAGACGTAAGATAAGTATTACATACAAATGGAGAGATATCAGAATAACTGCTGATTTCTCAGCTGAAACTTTCCAAGCCAGAAGAAGTTGATCTTTGACCTTCAATCTCCTAAAACAAAATAACGTCCAGCCCAGGATCCTATATCCCACTAAACTAAGCTTCATCAATGATGAAGAAATCAAATGACATACAAATGTTGAAGAAATTTGTCACAACTAAACCAGAGCTCCAGGATGTTCTCAGTCCCATCCTTCATAATGACTAGCAGAATGTTCCACAGTCAAAATAAACTCACCCAGAAACTTCTGAACAAAACCTAACATCCACAATAGTCTAAGGACTAAAAATATACACTAGATATTTGAAAAACATGACACCCAAAACACTCACATTTTTCAATTCTCTCAATTAATGTGACTGGCTTAAATTGTCCTCTAAAGAGTCATAGGCTGGCTAACTGGATACATAAACTCAGACCAGATAGCTATTGCATACAAGAATCTCACCTTCCCTTAAAGGGTAAAAATAAACTCAAGGTAAAGAGATGGACATCTGTAATTCAGGCCAATGGAAATTAGAAAAAAGCAGATGCTGCAATTTTATATGAAGATACAATAGGCTTTAAACCAGCAATGGTAAAGAAAGATAAAGATGGTCACTTCATATTTGTCAAGTCAAACACCCAACATGAAGAGATTTCAATTATTAACATTTATACAACCAACCTGAATTCCCCTCAATGTATAAAGGCGACCCTAACAGACATGAAAAATTTGATATCTTCCAGCACCATAATAGTCAGAGATTTTAGCACCCTTTTGGCAATGTTGGATAGATCCACCAAGATTAAGCTAAGTAAAGATATTTTGGACTTGAACATGACCATAGAACAACTTGGCTTAACTGACATCTACAGAATATTTCATCCTAATAAAACTGAATACACATTCTTCTCATCAGCACTTGGAACATCCTCCAAAATTGATCACATCTTAGGTCACAAGTCTAACCTCAGAAATTTTTAAAAAATAGAAATTATTCCTTTTACCTTCTTGGATCATCATGGAATAAAATTGAACTCAACAACAGGAATCTTCAAACACATACAAATGCTTGGAAGCTAGACAACCTTATGCTGAGATAGCTGGGTCATAGAAGAGATTAAGAAAGAAATTACCAAATTTTTGGGAAAAAATGACAATGAAAACATGAATTATCAGAACCTATAATATACTGCAAAGGCAGTCCTAAGAGGGAAATTCATAGTGTTCATGTCTTCCTCAAGAGAACAGAAAGAGAGGAAGTCAACAACTTAATGGGACATCTCAAGTAATTGGAAAAGGAAGAACATTTCAAACACAGCAGAAGAAGAGAAATAACCAAAATTAGAGCATAATTAAATGAAACTGAAAACAAAAGAATTATTCAAAAGTATAATGAATCAAAAAGTTGGTTCTTTGAAAAGATTAATAAAATTGATAAACCTTAGCTAACCTACCCAGACACAGACAAGTAAAATCTCTAATATCTTTAATATCTTCAATCAGAAATGATAAAGGTGAAATAACAACAGACACCTCAGAAATTCAAAAAATCCTTAATGAATACTATAAAAAACTTTATTCTCAGAAATATGAAATCTGGAGGAAATAGACCAATACTGGAAACATGCCACCTTCATAAACTCAGCCATAAAGAATTGGAAATGTATCTGGGCATTGTGGCGGGTGCCTGTAGCTACTCAGGAGGCTGAGACAAGGGAATTGCCTAAGCCCAGGAGTTGGAGGTTGCTGTGAGCTGTGTGATGTGAGGGCACTCTTCTGTGGGCAATAAAGTGAAACTCTGTCTCTACAAAAAAAAAAAAAAAAAAGAAAAAGAAAAAGAATTGGAAATGTTAAATAGACCTATATCAAGAACTGAAATAGCATCAACTACACAAAATCTCCCAAAAAAGAAAAGTCCAGGACCAGATGGTTTCACCTCAGAATTCTACCAAATCTTTTAAGAGAAACTAGTACCCATATTACATAACCTTTTCCAAAACAGAAATATAAGGCAAACTCCCCAACACATTCTGTGAAGGAAATATCACCCTAATCCCCAAACCAGGAAAAGACCCAATAAGGAAAAAACAACTACATACCAATTTCTTTAATGAATATAGATGTAAAAATATTTAATAAGATCCTAGAAAACATAATCCAGCAACACATCAAACAAATTATAAACCATGACCAAGTTGGTTTTATCCCAGGGTCTCAAGGATGGTTCAACATATGTTAATCTATAAATATAATACACCACATAAACAAAACAAAAAATGAAGACCATTGATTCTGTCAAAAGATGCAGAAAAGACTTTTAATAATCTCCAGCATCCTTTCATTATCAGAACACTTAAGAAAATAGGTATAGAGGGACATTTCTTAAACTGATAGACGCCATCTACAGTAAACTAACAGCCAATATCATATTGAATGGAGTAAAATTGAAATCATTTCCACTCAGATCAGGAACCAAGCAAGATATCTCATTGTCTTCTCTGCTATTTAACATTGCAATAGAAGACTCAGCCATCGCAAGCAGGCAAGAGAAAGTGATCAAGGGTTACCAAATAGGGTCAGAGGATATCAAACTTTCACTCTTCGCAGATGATATGATTTTATACCAGGAAAACCCCAGGGGCTCAAATACAAAACTCTTAGGAGTGATCAAACAATACAGCAGCTTCTCAGGATACAAAATCAATACTCACAAATCTGTAGCCTTTATATATACCAATAATAGTCAAGTGGGAAAAACAGTCAATAACTCTATTCCTTTTACAGTAGTCCAAAAGAAGATGAAATATTTGGGGATTTACCTAACAAAGGATGTGAAAGATCTCTATAAAGAGAACTATGAAACTCTGAGAGAAGAAATATCTGAAGATGTTAACAAATGGAAAAACATACCATGCTCATGGCTGGGAAGAATCAACATTGTTAAAATGTCTATACTACCCAAAGCAATATACAAATTTAATGAAATCCTTATTAAAGCACCACTGTCATACTTTAAAGACCAGGAAAAAATAATAATTCATTTTGTATGGTATCAGAAAAAAACTCGATTAGCCAAGAGATTACTCAGAAATAAAAACAAATCAGGAAGAATCATGCTACCAGACTTCGACTATACTATAAATGTATAGTGATCAAAACAGCATGGTACTGGCACAGAAATAGGGAGGTAGATATATGGAACAGAATAGAGAATCAAGAGATAAACCTAGCTACTTATCATCATTTGATCTTTGATAAGCCTATCAAAAACATTCAGTGGGGAAAATACTCCCTATTTAACAAATGGTGCCAGGTGAACTGGCTGGCAACCTGTAGAAGACTGAAACTAGACCCACATCTTTCACCATTAACTAAGATAGACTCTCACTGGATTAAAGAGTTAAATTTAAGACATGAAACTATAAAAATACTAGAGGAGAGTGCAGGGAAAACACTTGTAGAAATTGGTCTGGGAGAATATTTTTATGAAGACGACTACCTGGCCAATTGAAGCAACACCAAAAATACGTTACTGGGATCTGATCAAACTAAAAAGCTTCTGCACAGCCAAGAGCACCATAAGTAAAGCAAGCAGACAGCCCTCAAAGTTAGAGAAGATATTTTCAGGTTATGTCTCTGATAAAGGTTTGATAACTAGAATCCAGAAAGAACTCTAACATATTAGCAAGACAAGAACAAGTGATACCATCTCATGAGGGCAGGAGATTTAAACTTCTCTGAAAAAGATAGGTGCATGGCCTACAGAAAAAAATGCTCATCATCCTTAATCATCAGAGAAATGAAAATCAAAACCACTTTGAGATATCATCTAACTCCAGTAAGAATAGCCCACATCAAGAAAACCCCAAATTGTAGATGTTGGCATGGTTGTGGAGAAAAGGAAACATTTCTGCACTGCTGGTGGGGATGCTAACTAATACGCACCTTTTGGAAAGAAGTTTGGAGATCCCTTAGGGATTTAAAAATAGACCTGCCATTTGATCCTGCAATTCCTCTACTGGGTATATATCCAGAACACCAAAAATCACTTTATAACAGAGATATTTCCACTGGAATGTTTATTGCAGCCCAATTCATAATTGCTAAGTCATGGAAGAAGCCCGAGTACCCATCAACCCACAATGGATTAATAAATTATGGTATATGTACACTGTGGAATATTATGCAGCCATAAAAAAGATGGAGACTTTATCTCTTTTATGTTTACATGGATGGAACTGGAACATATTCTTCTTAGTAAAGTATCTCAAGAATGGAAGAAAAAGTATCCAATATACTCAGCTCTACTGTGAAACCAATATATAACCCACCACACTTCCATATGAAAGCTATAAACCAACTACAGCCCAAGATGAAGGAGGAAGAGAAGGGGGAGGAGATAGAAAAGGAGGGAGGGAGGGTAATTCATTGGACCACACTTATGGTGCATTTTACAAGGGTACATGTCAAATCTATAAGTGTAGAGTATAAATAATGTCATAACACAATAATTAAGAGTGTACAGTGAAGGATATGTTAACTAGTTTGTTATATTTCAAATTGTGTATAAAACCAGCACATTGTACCCCATAAATGCCTTAATGTACACTGCTATGATTTAATAAAAATAATTTTTTTTAATTTTTTTTTGTGAAAAGATACTCTGCCTACTCACCCCACAGATGGAAAGCCCTTGCCTCCAACCCAGCCTGGCAGCTTCTGAGAACTAACAGAAGAGGAAGTGCATTTCTGGCTTATGAGGTCCAGTTTCTCACAGAGTCCTGTGGGTAGATGAGGTAGCTGAGTTGCTGGCCAGGGAATTTGCATAATGGTCAATTAGTTCTCTTTTCATTACAGTGACTTAAGTTGTGCATTGTCAGCATGGGCTGCATTAAAGTATGTCTGGAAATGAACTTGGAAATGATGATAGTGTTCAGAATAGGGAAAAACAAACAATGGATGGTGGATTCAACTCTCATTGATGCCAAGGAAATAGGTCTAAGTTTGAAGAGGCCTTTGAATTTTCAGAAGAGTTGAAAGCCAAAGTGTGAAAAGGAGAGGTCAGTATATCTTTGTATCACCTAGTTTCCCATACCAGAATTACTCGTCAGTTAACCACTGTGGGAAAATGACTGACCCATATGCCTGCTCTTTGGATAACGACACCCAATATATGTGCACAGAAGTACATGGATGGTAAGAACTCCTAACTGGTTTCGTTAGGATGGTGTACTGAAATATTTGTCTCATTTGGAAGAAGACTTACAAGAAGATGGTACAGGACTCTTGGCAAGATCCAGCATGAATATGGCAAATGCCCTCTATGTCACGCCAAAATACACATCTAGTGATTTATTCTTCTCTTGATTTTATTACATTTAGGAATCTTTGTCTTATAGTAATACCTTCATTTTTCTGTTTCTCATTTATTTTAATAAATTGATAAGAGCAAATGCAACAAAGTAATCAAATAATCACCTTGTGGTCACTGTAAGGGTGGGCTGGCAGTCAGCCTCCCATGGCCTACTCAAAATACTTGCTGCATATTTGAAATGACAAAGGAAGAGCTCAAGTCTGTTATTGTCAACTCTACTGAAATAAAAATTGTCTGAATGTAAAGCACATGCCTGAACCCTGAGCAGTCCCTGAAATTCTGAGCATTCTGTGTGCTCACAACACAGTTCTGCATGAGACAGGTTGTCTGCAGGAATAAATCAAGAATCCCCACCTCTGAGTGGAATCTCTCTTCTGCACTGACTCTAAGCTTGGCCATGGGACTGGCTTAGCCAAAAAAAATAGGATGGAAAGAAAGTGCTCACCTGCTGGACAAACAGAGGCCATGTGGATGAGAACTAAGACTCACCAGATGACAGTCTGTCACTCTGATTGCCAACCTGCCAACCAGTAGATGTGTGAATGAGGCTTTGTTGGATTATTCAACCAGCTGACCCCCCAATGGCCCACAGACACATAGAGAGACCAGCCAACCAACCTAGATAGAAGCAATGACTAGCCATCTCACAAAATCATGCTATAAATAAAATAGCTGTTATATTAAGCAAAAATTTTAAAAATTGGCTGGGCACAGTGACTCACACATAGTCCTAGAACACTGGGGCACAGGTGGGAGGATTACTTGAGTTCAGGATTTTGAAACCAGCTTCAGCAAAAGGGAGCCACCACCTCTACTGAAAATAGAAAAAATTATTAAGGCATGGTGGTGCATACCGTTAGTCCCAGCTACTCTGAAGGCTAAGGTAGAAAGAGTGTCTCCGCTGCAGGCCACAGTAAATGTGTGTGTGTGTCATTGTCATCTGTACTGAAATGTGGACAAAGACGTACAAGAAGTACCCAATGCATTTATGGGTGTGTATATTATGGGGGAGATGATTTGTTACATAGCCAAATCTAACTGATGCACTTCCCAAAGTAGACTGGAAAGAGTTCTTTGCACACTTGTTGTCGGGCATGTTACTAAGTGACTTCACCTCCCAACCACAGTTGATTGGAACATAGATTTGTTCCTATAACAACTAACAACCTACGTGATGGCCAAGAAGAACAGTGTGCCTTAGAACAGTGTGCTGGTCATTGATTGACCAATCCATTCGGCTGTGTCTTTCTTGGGGAGTTTGAATGCAGAGTCCCAGAGTGGCCCATGAGCCAATGAACAAATTAAGAAATAACAGAAGCAGGAGTCACACAGATCTGATGATAGTCTACCTCTCAAATCTCCACTTTCGGTATCTCACCTGGCCTTGGCAGAGAAGCAAGTCGTCACCATTATCTGTCACCATCACATAACTGAAGTCCATTTCACAGACCAAAGAAGCAAATCCACAGTATAGGAACAGTTTCACAGAGTATGGTCACCTCTTAAACTTTAAGAAACTTGCAAAAATTCATTTTAGGCAATTGTGAAACGTGTGTGCTCTCCACCCTTCTGCACCCTGCTGTGTGCACTTGGGAGGTTGTCCTGTGTGTTCTCCTCATCACACTCTATGTTCTCTACCCAAAAGCTGAGTTGGGCAGTGATATCCCCGGAAGGAGAGAGGAGTGCTGGAACAGTGAGTGGTGGAGGTGCTGCTTCTCCACATCCTGCTGCCCAGCAGGGCTACTCATTTGGTCTGTGGCTGGATTCCTCTGCTGCAGGCTAAATTCCCTGCCAGGTTCCTATAACTGCTTTGTGTCTTCACCTTTCCAAGACAAGGTGTGGTGAGAGCTCCCCCCACATTGCTATTCCCAGGGTGTCCCACCGTCCTGTGTTGAGTGGGATTAGCCCTGCCCACCTCAAAATAAACAGTCTTTTCATTAAACCCTCCTAATTTAACCCATTTGACTGGGGCAGATGCTTCTCCCCAAGTCGCCAACTAATGCACTGACACTAAACCAACTCTACTTGTTCTAACCAGAGGACAAACTTTTTTTCTTTTACCAACTGCCCTGGAAGAGGAAACCACATTTAAGAAAAGAAGGAAACACCCTTTTTATTATTAATTTATTCAATCATAACTGTGTACATTAATGCATTTATGGGGTACAGTATACTGATTTGATACACAATGTGGAATGCTTACATCTAACTGATTAACATAAACACCTTTTTTTTTTTTTACCAGCATGCAGACCCAAAGCACAAAATACAAAACACCACTTCCTCCTTTGCCTGTCCTTGAAAAGGAATCATTTCTCAGCAAACTTCCCACGACTTAAATAATGACATTCAGCTTGCAGACTGGCTGGAAATATGGTACAAGTGATCCAGGAGGCAGGCATGGGAGTGAGCACAGTGTTGGTGCTCAGACCTGGTGCCTAAAGGCTCTACTCAGTGACACCCACACACAAACTCTTTTTTTTTCTTTTTTATTGAATGGTAACTATGTACATTAATGCACTTCTGGGGTACAGTGTGGTGTTTTCACACACAATCCGAAACACTTCCATCAAACTGGTTAACATAGCCTTTGTCTCGTTTTCTTAGTTATTTTTTTTCCTTTTTCTCTTTTTTTTAATAAAATGATAGCTGTATACATTAATGCAAACATGGGGTACAGTTTAGTGTTTTCATATACAATTTGAAACACTTTCATCCAGCTGGTTGACATAGACTTCATGTCATTTACTTAGTCATTGTGTGATTGTGTCAAAACATTTATACTCTAGTTCTAGAAAAGTTATTGTGTTAAAATATTCATATTCTACTCTTAGAAAGATTCACTTGTACCCTTGTAAGATAAACCATAGAAGTGATCCCTCCAATCCCCCTCCCTTAAGCCATTCCCCCTTACTCTCTCCCTCCCCCCTCCCCATATTTTAGGCTGTTATTAGGTTATACCTTTCATATAAAAGGTATAAATTTTTTAAAAAATTTTAAAAAGGTATAAATTAATTTCAAAATAGGGGTGTGTACATTGGATACTTTTTCTTCAGCTCTTGTGATACTTGGTTAAGAAAAACATTTTCCAGCTCCATCCATGTGAACATGAAGGACGTAAAGTCTCCATCTTTCTTTATGGCTGCATAGTATTCCATGGTGTACATATACCACAGTTGGTTGATCCATTCGTGGATCGATGGGCACTTGGGCTTCTTTCATGGCCTGGCAATTATGAATTGGGCTGCAATAAACATTCTGATACAAATGTCTTTGTTGTAATGCGATTTTTGGTCATCTGGGAATACCTAATAAAGGAATTGCAGGGTCAAACATCAGGTCTATTTTTAGTTCTCTAAGTGTTCTCCAGATGTCTTTCCAAAAGAAACGTATTAGTTTACATTCCCACCAGCAATGTATGAGTGTTCCCTTTTCTCCACATACACACCAGCATCTCTGGTTTTGGGAATTAGTGATATGGGCTAATCTTACTGGAGTTAGGTAATAACTCAAAGTAGTTTTGAATTGCATTTCTCTGATGATTAAGGATGGAGCATTTTTTCATATATCTGTAGGCCATGTGCCAATCTTCTTCAGAGAAATTTCTCTTCAAGTCCCTTGCCCACCCTGAGATGGGATCACTCGTTTTCTTCTTGTTTTCTTTTCTTTTTTTTTAAATTTATT